CCATGTTGCGGAAGCTCCACCCCAAGTGCAGTGGGCCAAGAACACTGGCCCAGATGGCCTCCCCCAGCTCACCCACAGGGCAGAAGTGCCAGGCGGAGAGGCCAGCCCAGAAGACCAGTGCTGCCACCACCCCCAGAACCCACTGTGGAGCGGAGACAGGATGCTCTGCAGCAGTAAATAACTAATCAGTGAGCAGACAAAAAAGAGTGGAGACACAGAAAGTTTGAAAAACGTACTTAAGCAACTGACTAACAAACCATGTACAAAAGCCTGTACTTAACAGTTAGAGCGTGTGCATTCTTATTTGAAACTGTCGTAAAAATTGATTATGTGCTAAGACATAAAACAAATCTCTACAAATGTAAAAGAACTGTTATGGAAGAGAGATTCTCTCACCTTAGGGCAATTAAATTAGAGTTAATAACAAAAATTTGTGCATTTTAAATCCTTATAGAAAAAAGTGTTTTAAATACTTCCAAATAACTCATGGATCAAAGAAGAAATAATAATGGATATTTAAAATACCTAGAATTGATTAATAATAATAAAAATACTAAATATCAAACTTAATGTGATGTCATTAATTTGCTATTTAGAAGAAATTTTGTAGTCTGAACAGCTTATTTTAGACAGAAGGAAGTCTCAGAATTAATGAGCTGAGCCTCTAGCATAAGGAACAGTTTAAAACCAATAGAACAAATACAAAGACAGTAAAAGGGAGGAGATTATAAACATGAGTAGAAACTGATAACATAAACAAGGAGACAGTGAATAAACAGAGCTTTTGAAATGGTTAATAATCATTCTATGGTGAAACTCAGAAAGAGAAAGAAAAGATACGAATAAATAACACGAAAAAGGAAAAGGAAGGGTGTCAGCCTCACCAGCCACTAGTGACAGGGGAAGCGGGTGTCGTTCCATCTATGTGATAAACTTGAAAATGTAAACAAAAGGGGCAAGTCCCTAGGAAAATATACTTTGGCAAAATATCTCAAGAAAAAATTAGAAAGCCCAAATAGTACAATTCTCATTTGAGAAGCTGAGAGTTAAAATCTTCCCAGGACAAGAAAGCACATGAGTGAGATCATTGTATTACTAAGTCTTTTCAAATTGTCAAAAACAGGTCACTCAAATCTTATACAAATTTTTCAAATAAAAAAGGAATCCCTCTCCACTCATTATACGAAGCTGGTATAAATAATCTTGATACCAAATCTAATATGAGAAGTAAAACTAAAGGTCAAGTGCTACTCACGGATACAGATACAAAACTCCTACACAAAATGTATGCTGTAGGGTCCTGGCTCTCTCTTGGGAGTAGAAAACGTGCTCTAACACTAGGGAAACTAGCTGTCGTTTACCACGTTAGCAAAGGTGATAAAAACATACCACTTCCATTAATACAGAAAGTGCATTTTATAAGCTCATTCATGATTTTAAAAATTTCTCAGCAAACTAGGAATGTCTAACAAAAAAAGAAAAAAAGCCCAGCAAGCATCATTCTTACCTGTGAAACACCAAAGACACTGTCTGCAAGACGGAGAACAAAGTAAGATGCCTAGTGTCACTGGCTTCTTCTCAAGGTCACGTTGAAGTCCCTAAAGGGCAGTCAGAACAGAAGATAAATAAAAAGCGTAAAGCGATCATCATGAGCAGATGAAACAGCTTCCTGGACCTTGTTAGAAGTACCACGAGCAGTGAGCGAGATTGAGACCGGTCACAGGAGTTGAGTAGACTCTGCACGCCAGCTGTGCTCGCACCAGCAGCGCTCAGCCACAGGCAGGACACCACCTAACATAGCACACAACCATAGGGGTCCAGCCACAAAGAAAAGATGGATGCACACGAACTCTGGAGAAAACTGTGATCTGAAAACTGGCCTGAGTGCCCCCGGGGCGGGGCCGAACCCAGGGCCACTTCCTGCTCATGCAGCTCTGGAAGGTCTTCCCTCATTCCTACGGTTAAGTGAGAATGTTGACAGTTAAGGAACTTCCCACGTACCAGGCTTACCTGTGTGGTACTGTGTTCCCTGGATATGATGCAATGTGGGAGATGTCTCTGGTGATTCAGGAAAGACGAGTTGATCGTGGGCCCTTTTCTGTGCAGACCTGTCACATCAGCAGTGATTAAGGAGACAGCACCTCCCGGAGCTGGTTGGGGCTGTGTTGAAGGCCAGGGCTCCCAGCCAGTGGGGCCAGTGTCCACCTCGGGCCAGTGCCCACCTCAGGCCTGAGCCAGCTGTGTGAGCAGAAGCGGGTGGGAAGGCGTGAACGGAAGGAGGAGGAGGGTGGTGATAACTGGTCTCTGGAGAGACAAGTAAACAGGACCAGTCTTCCTCCATCATCTGGGATACAGGCAAACGTCAGAACAGACTTAATGCGAAGGTGTGAGCCCATTCCCCCTCCCCCTCTCAGCACAAGCAGTCAGAAGTTCTCTCTAGTTTCACGAGGCAGATCTGGGGACATTTCTGTGCTTATCTTGACTTTTGTGTATTTTGACAGACAGGAACACTTGTGGAGCAGAGTTGGGCAGGTGTTAACTCCTGGGGTGGGAGCGGCTATAGGACCCTCTCCCAGCAGAAGGCGGAGCCTGGCCCTGTCGCTGTGCCTTAGCCTCTCAATGTTAGAGCGGGGCAGACACCAAAGCACTTCCCTCTGAGAGGTTCTATGTGACACAGCGTGGCAGGGGATGACAGACGACCTAGTCAGTTCGTCCCTGCCCTCATGCAGCCCGCTGCTTCAGGCAGGACACTGTCACCAGTGGCCTTGATGTTCTGTACGGCTGTTGGGCACCTGTACAAAACCTCAGGGTTTCTGCGACCGCGGACAGGATGAAATGGGAAGAGAGGATGCTCATTTTCCGGGCAGTGGTGATGTATTTGATTTGAGAGGTGCTCTTCTTCTTGTGCCTTTAAAGTGCACTGGTCAGAATTCTGTCTCCTTCTCTGTTTTGTGGATAGTGACCCAAACCTACAAGTACAAATCTGCAAAGTGCACATTTCCACTCAACGGTCCTTCACCCCAGCACATCCATTTAGGAAGGTGTTTACAGTGGATCCCTAGTGAAGGAGAAGAGATTTCTCATCTTTGTCCTGAATTAGAAACTGTCTCCTAAAAGGGCAAATGTGAATGCTTTTTTGTAGAGTTTGTCTTCTCGTGCAAGATGCCTGCGGACTATTCGGTGAGGTGCACTTGGTCGGCATGGCCCTGAAGGACAGAGCGCTGGAGGGGAAGTCCTGCAGGCTGGCGGGACTGAAGGTTCTGCGGAAGGCCACCAGAGGAAGGTGAGAGCCCTGAGTGCGTCCCATCTGCTACAGCAGAGTCTCTAATTTTATTTCTAAAGAAAATAGACTAGAGTCTGCCTGTAAAATGAGGCTACCGGTTGTATGGAGCCCATAAAGTCTCTCCAGGAGAAAACGTGTGACAGACAGCAAAAATAATGATGCAGGTGTAATGATTCACAATTTTATTAAAATTAAGACTAAAAATGTTAAGTACATGTGTTTTAATTCTAAAATTTTTCTGTATATTTTGTTGTCTATAATAATAAGACAGCTTGGCATGAGTCACTTTATATAAATGAGAATATAATTTACTGAAAAGGCATTTTATAAGCTTTAAGCAAAACTCTTAATTTGTCATATCTTTTTGCTTTCCATCTCAAGAAAGCTTGTTCTGTCAGGTTTCGTGTTGTTTTGGGAACGGTACGTGGGTCTGGCCCCAGCGGTGGCTGTTCATTCCAGTAACCATCGTAGTCTAGGAATTAGGGAAAAGCAGAAGTATTTTTAATGGAACTATCCAGTCACAGAGAGAATTAGTGTAAACAGTGTATCTGGGGTTTTCTCACTGCAGCCTCCCTTTCCTCAAGTAGCTTGTCATTTTAGCTCTCTTGATGTTACTTTGTTTAATTACAGTAACTCCTGAGCTTGTAACAGTATCTGAGGGAGGAAGAAACCCATTTTGCATGTGTTTGCATGGGTTTTCTTCTGATTTGGAAGCAGTCATTGGTAACCCTCTCTAGGGGTCTCCATGATGACGGTCCGGCCATGGCCCTTCTACGCGAAGCACTGCCAGGCAGTTCTGCTGCCTGGCCGCTGTGGGCAGTACGCTAACCCGGCCCTATGTTGTGCCTCGTCTGACTATCACGTGGCCCTGCGTAGATCCTGGAGCGGTTTATTGACTCGTTTACAGAAGGAGGGCTGTGTTATAATGTCACTGCCTTGTAGATTACGGAGCGGGCTGCCCAGATATTTGGAAAGCATGTCTAGACGTGTGAAAAGCTTAACTGGGTCACAGGAACCTTATCCTGATGAAGGCTGAACCTCATTTCACCCCCAGTTTCAGAGTCACAAGCATCTGGAAAGACTCTGTAGCTGGGGCAAGTGAGTTGCTGCCTTGACATTGTCCTGACGGTGGTAACTCCATTGGGGCCATGTAAGACGTCCCCGCACTCTGGACAAGGCCCCCCCCCAGAGCACACCAGGACATGAGGGGCTCCGCATCACAGGGGCCTCAGTGGGGCTCCTCCAGCTGGCAGGCCTGCCCTGCGCTGCAGAGCAGAGGGGCTCCTGCAGACACACTTCCTGCTGGGGGTTCCTCATGGGACTGACTGCGCCAGGCTGGGACCCCGGGGCTCTGGCTCTGTGAAGTCATGGTCTTTAACCGTGATTCCGTACAGCCGTCTGTATCCCTAATATTTCATCTGGTTTTTGTGGGTTGCTCTGGAAGCCTTGCTGCTGTCTGCAGTGTTGCCATAGGAAGTGTTTTTTTTTTTCCATGTGAAATGCACTGAGTATTCGAAATAATTCCTTTACAAGCTTTTGAAATCATTCCATTTTTAAGTTGGTAACTAAATATTTGATACTTTTTTTAGGTTGGAATTAATCTCTATCTTATATATTTAATTTTATGTTGGCATGTAAACATCCAAATAAATATTTAGGTTGTCTTTTTGTTCCTCTGGAAGCTATAATTCTTCAAAACAAATTATTAAACAGTTTTGGAATGCTGGATGTTATAATTGCCTGTTAGTGATATCATCCATTGTCAGTCATCCATCCACAGCCCAGTAAACACAAGTTGTTTCTTTTTTTCCCCCAAATTATTGTGTTTCATAGCAACTCTCATAAACTTTAACAAAATATACTTCTCATAAATCTTAACAAAATATCCTTAATTCCAAAAATTCAAGCTAAAATGATTAATTATAATTATATAATTCCGATATTTAATATAGAAAATTACTTTTTTGCCAGTTGGAAGGAAGTTTTATGTTTGGGCTAAGTCGTGGAGTCTTTGAAATCCAAGCTACCAGGTTTCATCTGGTCCACCGTCAGAGTGACGGAAAATCACTGCTTCCCACGACAGCTTCGGGTGGACTGATGGCCTTGGAGCTGAGCAGACAGACAGACATGCTGCTGGACCCCTGTGCGGGGCGCCCTGCTCTGTCCACCTGCCCTCTCGGGAACTGTTGCAGAAAAACAGCTGTCACATCTTCTGCATTTCTCTGACACATTGTTGGAGTCGAGTGTCCATACTGATAGGCTGAAGTGAGAAGAGTCAGGAAAAGAGCCTGGATTTAATGGAAAAAACCATTTAAAATGACATGGCTGAGGCTTGTGCTCTGCCTGCTCCCCCCCACCCCCCCGAGGACTCCTTGCTGTTTGTCCAGTGACTGAGGCACGTCCCTAGACCTTTGTCCTCCCAGGTGGCCTCTGCAAACAGTTTAGAGGCAAACAAGCTGAAAACTCACATAACATTGGTGTCATAATTCTGTGTGGGAGCTGCATCTTTTTATTGCTGATTATTATGCTGCTGTGTTTATGCAGTAGAGTAACACTGAGGGGAAAACAAATTTCCTGGAATATGTGAACCCTCTAAGTATGGAACATGTAGCTAAGCAAATTTTTTGCGGGTGAGGGGAACCTCTTTCAGTTCAAAATCCTGCTGGTATTTATGTCCCAGCTTGTTAAAACAAAAACCACTCATCTGTCTAAACTATGTTAGTAATTTATAGGTTCTGTTTTATTTAGGTCTCTCACATGGCCCTTCGGGGGTGAGTACTGGAGACTGCTGAGGGGTGTTTAGTCAGCACTCACTGTGTGCAGAGGGGCCACCTGAGTGCTGAGAGTGACAGGGAAGCACGTAATATGACCCTGACCTTGCGCTGTCTCTGTTTGATCTGAAGACTAGACCTGCCCGAGGACAGGGCAGTTGTTTTTTAAGTGATGGAATCTTAAATGGCTGGTCTCAGGTTTCGTCAAAGGAGTGAGGAGAATGTTTAAACATCTTGATCTTGCAGAAAAAAAATTTCTCCTCAGATTGGGAAGATGTTGTCTGTGAAGACATAAAAGTAGAACTAGGCGGAAGTATAACTCACTCATTTTTTTCTTACATACTTGGTGATATGTTCCTGGCTCGTTGTTGCTGTGCTAGATTCTTGGGATTTATCTGAACCAGAACACACTGAAATAAAAGGTCAGCTAGATAAAGCCTGAAATCCTATTATTATGGGTTCTGATTCTTCCAGGAGAAAATTAGGGCCCTGTGAGTTTTTAAGAGAAGAGAAGAAGAGGTACTAAAGATGAAAATGGAGTTAGGATTATCCTACTGTTGTAACTGTAATAGATCTGAAATAGAGGGAGAGATTGGGACAGGGCTGCAAATTTGGAAACTTGTGTAGTAATTGAGGGAAAGAGAGTGAAGAACCAATTACCACTGATTTTTTTTCAGTTTTCTTAAACTAAAAAAAAAAATTGTATTGCAGTATCATTGATTTACAGTGTTGTTAGTTTCTGGTGTGCAGCACAGTGATTCAGTTGTATGTGTTTGTACATATTCTAAATCCCGCACCCTGGACTCAGACCCTGGGTCCCCCTCACTAGGTCCAGGAGACGTGCATGAGGTTGTGTTGTGATACTTTATCAAGGATGGGATCCCACCTTGAGGAGGAGGGCCTTGAACAGGGAGGGTGACTGGCCAGGGGTCAGGCTCCACTGTGACTCTGGGCACCAGGGCCTCCGTCTCCTGGGAGACGCTCCCGACCCACATGCTCAGTGGTGCCACAGAGGGAGTCTTCAGGAATTGTCCAGCACAGGTCGTGAGGGTTAGGGTCATTGTCCAGGAATCATCACAGATGCCCCTTCAACAGGAAGTAAGCAGTGGTGAGAGCCTTCCTGGGGAAAGATACTTCAGCAGCAATTTCCTTCCTTTGATTTCTCCTCTTCAAAGAGGTTGCCCTCTTACAGAGACACACTTCTCTTGGGGTTTGAGGTCTAGAAAGTCTTTGCTCATTAGAAATCCTCTTTTAAGGGACATTCTTTAGAATTCTTTCATTAAATTGTTCCTGATAGGTTCACCACCCAAGTTTCTAGAAGGAGAATAAAATGTCACTGAGAATGAATGTCCCAAATCCTGGAAGCAAGGATGCTCAAGAGCACTGACAGGGTGGAGGCACTGGCCCACGTAAAACGTGCTACGGAAGAAAGCCCACAGAGGGTCACACGTCTTGGAGCCCCGTTTACAGGAAGCATTCAGGGTGACAAACTCGTGGTGACAATGCAGGGTGGGTGTCACTGGGAGGAGGGGACAGGGAGTGACTGTGATGGGGGGGCACCTCTGGGCTGATGGCAATATTGTGCTACCCAGCAATGTGCTGAATGTACTAAATGCCACCAAACTGCACATTGAAAAGGTTAATTTTATGTTGTGTGAATTTCACTTCAATTTTTAAAAAGCGGGGAAATGAACTGATTGCCTAAAAAGTGTTTACACTGACTTATGAAAACAGCTACAAATGTTTCATAAGTTCAGTTGGAGAAGATTGGAACTTCTGGGCATAATTTCACATATTTCAGAAAGACCCAGCTAGGGAATAGGGCTCAGAAAGAAAACACAATTATTTAACTTTAACCATTAAGGTTATTTTTCAGAAATTAGGACAATGATTTGTTTAGTAACATGGGCACCTCTCTAAATCAGTCATTACCTTCGTCTTTCAGTGAAAAATTCTTAAGAAAACGTTCAGGTCAGTCTATTCTGTTATCTCTGTCAGTGATCAAGACTGAGTAAAGTGTACAAAGGGGAGAGTTGGCAATCACAGAAGGCTCAGCACACCCTCCAGGGGTGACAGAAGGGGAGGCGTGAGGACTGCAGACCACCCAAGAGTCCTTTGCACTGTGCAGGCCAAGATTAACCACCACCAGGATCACCACCCTAACGCTGGTGCTTCAGAAACTGTCGGTAAAAATGCGCTCACCCCGTCGGCAGTTAGACAAAGAAGTTCTGCTTTGACTGTGGTCCTTGGCATGTTTCTCTCCCTCCTCAGTCATCTGCTGAGCATGGGCGCCACAGAGAGGAGTCACCATCCAGGGTGAGAGGCGACCTCCTCACAGGGATGGCTGACTGTCTGATCCGGCTCTGCTGGCGCCGGTGGGCTTCCCCAAGAGGGCCATCAGGATGTGACCTGCAGGCAGACACCCGTGGAAGCAAGTTCCCACCCATAACTTCATTCCCGTTACCTTCTGACCTGAAGTAGAATGCCATGCAGTTAACAGTGTTCAGTAAAGTCCTGACTCATAAATGATGATGTCTGAACCCAAACAAACTGTCCAGTAGCTCTTGACCATATGAAAATGTAGAATAATTTTTAGTAGCAATCTCACAGGTGGCTCTGACCCTCTGCCTTCCTCCACCACCTTCCCCCAAGGACCGAGGGACAGAGTAGAACCCAGTCAACTCAGGGTGATTGGGCTGTCAGCCCAGCTTACGCGAGGGGACTTGCTGTTAAAAAACAAAAGCCAAACTTGGGAGCTTTGCTGATCACGGAGCAGAGGGGAGAGGGGGCTTCACAACCACCGTCTCTTGAGTTGTGTCTCAGCACACGCCTGCTGTGGTGGAAGCTGACCCCTCCTCCTCATCAGCCAGAGAGAGTAACAGTTGAAAGTACAGAGCGAGTTCTTTAAAACAGGAATCAAAGAAACCAGAAGGAAGATGAGCTGATAAAAGAGCAGAAAAGCAGCTACTCCGTATCCCTGCCAGTTAGAAACCCACCCAGTGAACTTCCCTGGCAGCGCAGGGATCCAGAATTCAGCATGGGCAGGTTACTTTTTTTTTTTTTTTTTTTTGCTTCTTCATTCATTCCTTCTCTTAGGAATCTCAACACTTCCCTCCTCCTATTGTTACAAAATCATAATTATTTAACAGTAGGGGCCAGTAGTTTTAAAACTTCAGAACATTTGAAAAATAGAAATCCCAAGAGGAAGCTCCGTGTTAATCCCAGATCCAGGTGGAGCGGTTCTGCTCAAAACTGGGAGGTGGGCAGGTCGGGGCCGCCGCAGCCCCCACCCCGCTCCTCGGGCATGTGGTTTGGGGTAGTCACGGAGGGTTAACTGCTGTTACAGACATTTCCGGTATCAGTACAGCCCTTTTTCCCCCTCCCTTGGGTCAGTATCCTGTTACCATAGCTGGCATCTTGGAGCACTGGGTGTGTGATTGAGAAGCTGAGTGGAGTGTTCCTTGTTAATCTCAGATATGAAAGACAAATATTTAATTTAAACATGCTCTCATGCATGTCTTCTCAAGTTGAAGACTCTTACACATTTTAATTTTAGGAAGAGTACTCTTAAATTGATAAATTTGCCAGTGAGACGACTGTGTTGATGTGGGACGCTGAAAGTGGGAGGAAAAAAGGTTCCCTGTCTCCACAGCCCCTCCCCTCTTTCCTTCAACTCTCCAGTTAGCTGGCAGATTAGGTCATGTTATTCTGTTTTTAAATAAAGACCTTGCAGCTCCTCAGATTAAGTAATAACTTGGCCCCACATGTGTGAGGTGGGCCTGGAGCCAGGTCCATCCAATTCCAGCGCCACAACCAACGTGTAATTACTTCCAGTTTTAGGGGAATTCATTTCTGTAAACTTCCCATTTGCTTTATGGTTGTAATCCCTGGGCCTCGAATCAGAAATCTGATCATTTCTTGTGGGAGGTGTTGATATAGTTTAGATTCTTGGTGTTTTCCAGTGATCTTATTAATAACAGCAGTAAGCCATCTATGCTAGAATTATCTTGAGTGAGCAGGAAGAGCGTCAGCGTCATGGCAGATAATTGTATGAGTGCTCCAGGTTTACTTGGGGATTTTTTTTTCCTGTTTACTTAGACACTTATTAATGAAAGTATGACTTTTAAGAAAGGTGATTTTCCTTCATATTAAAAGAGAAATAAAGTAAGAGAATTTGCTTCTGTCCCTAGAACCACTGACAGGGGAGATGGTAGGCAGAAGGTCCTAAACCTGGACCACACGTTGGGAGAAGCCTCAGACCAGGACTTTCAGCATCGCCTGCATCGCCTGTGAATTGAGACAGTAATACAGCTACCGCTTTCATTGGTTGTTGCTGTAAAAACAGTTACTGTAAAAAGCAAAGGGAATTCAGTGATCTCCCTTCCCACTGGGTGTTCATTCCAAAGTGTGGTCTTCCGCGTCTTTCTTCACGAGCACAAACCTCTCTCTTAAGAAAGAAGAGCAGTTTGCTTTTACTCTTCGCAGTCTCTGAGGGTGACCCTCTCCAGTTTTTGCCACTTCACAGCAACAGAGCTCCGTGTACCCGCGTCTCCTTGGTTACTGACCTTTTCCATTAACCTGTTTGTGGGAAATGCACCCAGCAGTGAACGCTGCCTGGTTGTGGAGTGTAGTGGGTGACTGGCACTGCTCAGTGGAAGAGACAGGCGTGCTTGCTGCCCTGAAGCTGCCCCTGTGTGTCCCCCAGTCACCACGGCCCTCCAGTCTCCTCCGTGGTCTCCAGGCAGTTTTACCGTTTGTGTCGTGTGTTTGGTTCTGCTGGTGTGTGAACTTGGCACAAGGCCTCATTCCTGCGTGCTCCATGTTGTGCTCCTTCATCCACCAAGGAGGCGCCAGGCCCGGCCACTTGCAGCCCGTCAACCTTGGCTGAGGCCTTCACTGTGGTGTGGGGCGAACCGGTCAGGCTTGTCTGGGTGTCTCTAGTGCAGTGACTCTGGGGGTTCATCTTCATCCCATTTCACGCCATCAATCACAGTCCGTCTGTGCGGTCGTCCAGGCACCGGGCTGTTACAGCAGCGGCTGGAGCTGAAGTGTGTGTCCATCCAGGTGGCAAGGGGGCTGCTTCACCTGCATTAGACGCTCACTGTTCCTAGAAGCGGGAGCCCCGTGTCCACCGCTGTTTGTGTGTAGAGTGTCCCTGCCGCTCTGCTTGTGTTCCACTATCTGGTGTCTTTATTTTTCTGGTCTCTGTGCCTTTCCAGCCTGAGGGTCTGTAGTGGGTCTCAGTGCAGCCTCTGGTTCTGCAGAGGCCGAGGGCCCCGCTCTGCGAGTTCCTGTTTCGGTTTCCTCTGGTCTGTCCAGGCCTTTGGCTTGTTGGCCTCGTGGCGTGCCGGCCTGTGTGTGTGGGGAGTCGGAGTACTTCAGCAGTGGTGTTCATGTGTTACAGGTGGCCTGCCCTTCTGCTCTCGTTATTGACCGAAGTGCTAATTTATCAGAGCCACCAATCTTTTCCTTTATGGTTAGTGCTTCTGTTTACTTGGTTAAGAGGTCTTTTCACACCCTGAGGTCATGTACGGTGCTTTTTATTTGGGACAGCATGCCCACAGTGGGGCTGCTTGCTCAGTCTGTGACTGGGCTTGTCTTTGTGACCTGACAGGCAAGGGTGAATGAACTGTCAAAGCATCTTGAAATGACTGGCTTGACCCACAGGTCTCCCTGGACCACGCCCAGCACAGGAGATGCTGGTTTCCTTCCTGTCCCAGAAATCTGCCTACAGGTGCATGAGATTAACTAGGCACCCAGGAAACAGTAAAATTCAAAAGTCAAATGGGAGTTTATAAAAACAAGATCTATCATTTATCCATGCTGGGTGTGCACGTTGTATGTAATCCTCAAAATAACCTCTCAAAGCAAATTATTTTATCCATTTTACAGATGAGGAACTTAAAGCTCATCAGAGTAAGTATTTTACCCCAAACCCACTTTAAAACACCCCAAAAGCAAACCCTGCTTCTCCAGGGGCGTCCTGAAGCACAGTATGGTTTGGTTATACTTGGTCGTGGGCAGTCCATGTCGAGTGCTCGACAGCAGAGCCTGCCAGCGTTGCTTCTATCCTGTCTTTCCATCTTGGGGGAGGGGAGGCACGAAGAGGCAGAGCCCAGAGATGGCAGTTTCCCTGCCAGGTGCTAGTGTCGCCTCCTGCCCAGGTCGTGACACACCTGTGATGCCGCTGCCATCAGCCGTCTGCACAGGTGTGCAGCTGGGTTTCTTGGCTAGGGCGGGGCCGGCTCTTGGTGAACGGGTTTTGTTGGTGCCCTTCTCATGCCAGTGTAGACTGTCTCAGCAGGACCAACAGGCTGTCCTGGGAAGAGTGTAGGAAGGGAGTCCACCTGATATGTGAAGCCATGATCGTAGAACAGATTCAAGTATCAGAGCACACTTGTAATACTATTTGCTAAAAAATACTTATCAGAAATATGGGCTGACAGATTGTGTGTGGAATGTGGGTGCGTCTGCCTCCACACTGGTGAGTGAGTAGACTGTGTGGCATTTTTCAAAGTAATAAGCCCCACCTGGGACAGAGACCAGCCTGAGCCCTGTCCACAGAGCTGCAGAAAGCGCCTGAAGCCAGGCCTCCTTGTTTCCCAAGTAACTGAGCATGTGAGTCTCCTGCCAAGGCAGAACACACATGTGCAAAGAACTTGTTTTACACAAAGTTGTACTGGTTAATATTTTGTATCCCAGATCTTGAGGAAAGAATTCAGATTAGGAAGGACATTTTAAAATATAACCAGCAGATATCCTGTAAAATGGGAGGCATTCCAAAGTTACAAATTTATCTGACATAAATACATAATAAACTTGAGCAGGTTCAAAGGAATAGTGCAGAAGGCTTAATTTCAGATGTGTCTTTCATTTCCTTTCGTGAGTTTCTCCAACTATGTACAGCGTGAAAAATATCTTCCTGAAATTCAGTGAAGTAGCCTTGCAAAATGTTTGGTAATTCCCCACGTCTGTAAGGCACTGGTGGGATGCTCTTGGAAGAGAACGGTCTCTGGGTCGGAATGCCTGGTTTGATGCCGTCACTGTCCAATCGCAGGACAGTTCATCACCCGCACAGGAACCCATCCCATTAGCAGTTACCCCTCCCCACCCCTCAGCCCTGTCCCCCAGCCCCACCACCCCTCATCTGCGTCTGTCTCTCTGTATTTGCATGTACTGACCGCTGCTCTTGGAGGGAGCCTCTTGGCTTATTCCATCAGCATCGCGCTTTCCAGGTTCCCCCCATGTTGTATCTCAGGTCAGGACGCCATTCCTTTCTGTGGCTGTCTGGCGCTCCGTTGTACGGAAGGACCCATTCATCAGTTGATGGACATCTGGGCTGTTTCCACTTTACTTTCCGGCTGTTGTGGATAATAATACTGATGTGAACATTCACATACCACTTCTGTGTGGACATAGTTTTCAGTTCTCTTGGGTAGATGCCTAGGAGTGGGGTTGCTGGGTCTCTGTCAAATGTTTTCCAAAGTGACTGCCCCGTTTTGCCATCTCACCAGCATAATCCTGTGTTTTAGTCACTGATTATCTCCCTCCTTAGCATCTCAAGGCTGCCATGGCTCCTGCCGATTTGTTCGTGATCTCCTTGGCCATCTGGTCATGTCAGGCCAACCTCTGAAAGAAACTCATTTCCGTTATCAAGGCAAACGTTTGTTCAGTTCACTCAAGGTTGTGTGTGTGTGTGTGTGTGTGAGTGTGAGGGTGACATGCTGCCTCTGGAAGATAGAGGAGGGCACAGAGTGGGGGAAGGGTAGGTGGTGGATAGATCATGAGCAGCACTGAGGTTTAAAGAACAGTTCCAAACTCTTCACAATTACTAAGAACTCAGAGATTTTTAAATGTGGTTATGTTGATCATGAACTACTTTATTAGAAATTAAAATGGAAAAAATTAAGTATTTACTAGCTCACCTCAAAGTCCCAATAGGAAACCCATTGAATAATAATATAAATAGCATTTTTATGAAGAATATTTTCTAAAACAAGGCAACTGTAGTGAGAAGAGTAGCATTGCCTTGTTTCTGCAGATGTCTTTAATGTCTGGACCAATAGAAGACAGGATTATCATCTCTGCTCCGCATCCTATCTGTTGTGTACTGTGCACCATGTAACCTCCAAAAAATTCCACTGTGCACTCGTGAGAGGAGAACCAGAGTGTCAGGAAACAGTGCTGGCCTTGCAGGCCCCCAGAAGGTCTTGGAGGCTCAGAGTTCCTGAGACTGCATTTCACAAACCCCTGGTCTGAAATATTCCACCTCCAGATAATACGCTTTGCAAAGCTGTGACTACTATGTAGTAGGTGCGGAGACATTAGCAACCACATGGAGAATTTTAGGAACATTTTACACCCAAAATATATGCTTGGTTAAAAAAAAAATTCTGAGATCTCTGAGGACGAATTAACTCCGTGAACAGGTTGTGTCCTGTCTTGTGGGTGACCTCACCATTGTGGTTTGAACCTCCTGCAGCAAATTCCACTCCACCCACACCCAGAAGGGAGTGGCTCAGGTCTTAGATTTCCCGCTGAAGGTTGGGAGGAGCCAGATGAGGCAGTATCAGGTGGGAAAAACCCTAAAATAACTAGGGGAACAGGTCACCTGAGCAGGGCCATCAGTGGGGGTCTGTGTGTGCCGGGAGCGTGCCCTCCTCCTCCACGTGACATCTGTCGTCCCCAGGTTTGGTGAGCGCCCTGGACCCCGGAGTCTGTGCCAGCTGCAGCCCTGTTCCTCCTCTACTTGTGTGTGTTTCTCCTCTCACTGCCACTCCGTCCTGTCACTCTGCTCTTCTGGCCTCTCTTCTTGCAGGTGGTCCGCCGTGTGTTCCAGGACGGACCCCCATCCTCTCCTCATAGTGACCGGGAGCATCGGGGGTGAAGGTTAGGGAGCTGCCTCTCTCGGCTGGAGATTGAGAGGTGATGTGCCCCATGGGGCTCTCAGTTCCGCGTGCCACTGTCGTCCCCAGCTGCCAGACCCAGGCTCATGCTCAGTCCAGGAGGAACAAATGCCCACAGCCCTGTGCAGCGTGATGGGGAGCATGGAGTCGGTCAGGCTTGTATGTCAGCCCGTAGAAGGCGTGCGTCCCACGTGGTCAGCTGTTCTGGCTACTTCTGCTGCTGTGCGCCCTCCCTGAGAGCCTGCGCCTGCTCCCACCACCCTCGGCACTGCGAGCTGGGAAGCGGGAGTATCAGAGTCCTGCAGGGAGCAAAGGACGGGGCCAAGAGGTTTCAGGACTGCAAGCAGTGCAATAGGGATATGTAACATTAGTTATTAAGGCCACAGGCTTTCTAAAAAGTAAACAACATTATTACACATTAACATTGTTGAAACTCACGGCAAAATCTAAGACGCCTTTCTGATATATATTCGTTTTGTGGGGCAACTAAAACTTTTTTCAGTTGTGGTAAAATGTACATAATGTAAAATTTTCCATCCAAAGCATTTTTTAAATTGAGGTATAGTTGACTTACAATGTTGTGTTCAGTTTCTGGTGTACACCATAGTGATTCAGTTATACATATGTATAGATACATATATATTCTTTTTTTGTAGGTTATTACAAGGTATTGAATATAATTCCCTATGCTATACAGTATGACCTTGTTGTTTATCTATTTTATATATAGTAGTTAGTATCTGCAAACCCCAAACTCACAATTTATCCCTTTCCCCCCTCTTCCCCCTGGTAACCATAAGTTTGTTTTCTATGTCTGTGAGTCTGACTCTGTTTTGTAAATACTTGTGTCATTTTTTTAGATTCCACATCTGAGTGATATCATATGGTATTTTTCTTTCTCTTTTGGACTTAACTTCACTTAGAATGAAGGTCTCCAGGTCCATCCATGTTGCAAATGGCATTATTTCATTCTTTTTTATGACTGAGTAGTATTCCATTGTGTAAATATACCACAGCTTCTTTATGCAGTCATCTGTCAATGGACATTTAACATCTTAACCCTTTTTAAGTGGCATTAAGTACTTTCACTTTGTTGTGCAGCCATCATCACCATCCATCTCCAGAACTTTCTCATCTTCCCAAGGAGAAGCTCTGTCCCTGTTAAACACTGACCTCTACTTCCCCCAGTCCCTGGCACTCACCATCCTACTTTCTGTCTCTGAATTTTTCTGCTCTTGGGAGAGCTAATAAGTGGAATCATACACTATTTGTCCTTTTGTGTCTGGCTATATTATTTATTTTAGATAACTTATTGATCATTTCTCTGATTGTGTGAGTAACACATATCTGTTTTGGAAAAATACAGGAAATATATAAACCAAAGGAAGAAAATGCATATCACCTTTAAGCTCTACTCAGATAACCACTAAAAACATTTTTATGTCTTTCAGAGAGAGACATTATACTTTGCTGTCCGCTTTTCATTTAGCAAGGTATCAGGGATATCTTTCCATGCCCTTAAATATTTTCCATATAACCATTTCAGTGGTTACATCACATTTCATTCTGCAGATGCATCACAATTTAATGAACAGTCCCCTTCCTGTTCTTTTGCAGGCAGGTTCTAAGGCCTGTCTTCCTGTCTGTGTACCACTGTCTTCATCGCTCGTCCTGAGTGGTGGCTCCTTGGGCATTCAGCCTGGTGTCTGTGAAGCAGGTGTGCATGTGACCAGCACACTGACCAGGCCTCTCTTCTTTCCCAGGATGGCTGGCCTTTTCAGTTTGATTGACACCATGTGGCCTCCAGTTGTGCCTCTGAGAGCACCTGGCCGCAGCTCGGCCTGTGAAGAGGTAAGCCCATCACTGACAGCTCCCTGGTTGCACCTGCTTGGTGTCAGGTGCTGAGCCAGGTGCCACTCCACAGTCCACATCCCAGGAAGCTGGGACCAGTGCATGTAAGCCAGGACAGAGGTCCAGGCCCACTGGCCCGCTTGCAAGTCCAGCCACCACCACACGCCAGGGCACAACCAAGGTCTCAGTGTCGCACCGAACAAGACACTTTCAATCACTAGCAGAACCTGCACTCAGTCACCAGTTGGAGCAGAAACTCCATGAATAACCTCCTGCTTATCCTGGGATTTCCCTTTCCTTCCTCGTCAGATTGTTCCCAGGAGTTGCTCACAGGTAGCAAAATTGACTGATTAAAATGAGTCCCCTGTCTCCATGCTGAGCCTACCCAGCAGTCTGGCCAGAGCTGTTCTGGGCTGTAGCTCCTCAGGCAGAACATGTGCCACCTTGTTTGTGTGGTACCTGACCGCCTGGCACAGGTAAAACCATGGCTCTGTTCTGTGCTGGACCAGCTGCACTGTGGTCAGAAATGCCATTTCTAGAGCACTCACAGGGGTGGAGTTTCTAAATGGTGTTCTCAATATACTCTGAAAAGTAAATTTCTAAAACGAAATCTTGAATTGGTCATAAGTTAAAAAGCACAGAAGTTCTTAGCTTGGTCCCAGAGATAAACAACATAACCCGTTTCTTACATAGCCTTCCAGAGAGGTAGTATGCTTCTGTGAACCAATATGTGTCTATTAGAGTAGGTTTATATTAACAGTGATTTGAGTCTTTTAACAGTACATTCACGTTCTGCTTTTGTCTTCACTTTAAACAGGAAACAACTCATCTGCCTCCTCCTAGCTTCTGTTACATCCTCTCTGCTCATCCAAATCTGGGACAAATTGATATAATTGACGAAGACCCCGTTTCTAAGCTTTACCATCCTCCGGTTCCCCGCTTCTTAAGAGAAATTCTCCAGGTGGTGTTTTTGTTTCTGCCAAGGTCTCAGTTATTTTCTGTGGCTGTGCTGGGGGTGGGGGGGGGCCTTACTCACCGTTCTCAATGCCTTTCCAGACTGATGGCCTCTGTACCCGTTGCAGTTTCTACGCCAGAGTGATTTACCAAGGACCACAGGTAATCAGTCTCCCCACCTCTTCCTCGTGAGGTGTCATGCGGTTCACTGAAGGATAATCTTTCAGAAATTAACGTGAGACCAAAACAGAAGGACAGTTGAGTCCAGTTGTGTCCACTCTGCTCTGAGGCAGTAACAGACCCACTCCTCCTGCAGGGTGGAGATGGGTGTGGGGGGAGCCTCTGTCAGTCAGGTGCTGGGGATGAGCCAGCTGCGCCCCCCTTCCAGCTCTCAGCCCAGCCCTGCGAGCTCCTTTCTGACACAGGCAGTTGTAGGAAGGAAGGAGAAGCTGTAGCCTCATTTCTGGAGTGAACGTAGGAATCTCAGGAGAGTGCTCACCATTTCTGAGAGCTCTTGTGAAGCTACGGGCCGTCCCATGGAGAGGCCACTGGAAGACCTGGCTCTTTGTGCCCAGCAGGCCCGCTGGGCCGAGACTGGGAAGAAGTAAGTGCTCTCGTCCGGCACGGGCAGTGAGTGCAGTGGGAAATTGCTGGACGGTGACTCACAGCGGAATGACCCTGTGTCACAATCACCCGAGAGCACGCAGAGTTTCCTCTTCTCTGCTTGTGAGTGGTCATTTTACAGAGAATTCGTGCCTCTCTTGGAGTGAGAGGGTGACCAATGTTAGTCCAGGGCAGCGCTCTCGCCAGCTGGCCCAGCACCCTGCCCCACAGGCTGGGGATGGCCCCCAGTGAGGACGCAGTCCAGCCCCTGATTGCCTCTTACTTCCAGGCTGACTGCACTCCTCCGCCCACAGGACGCTTAGCACCTGCCACGTGCCCATCACCCTAACCACACCTCAGGTGGTGAGGCTGAGGCATCAGTGGTTCACAGTGCAGCTGCCACTACCTGCAGGCACAAACAGCCACCTCGTGCTGTCACCCCACTGGCTCCTGCCCACAGCCCTGCAGCCCGGCCAAAGGTACAGGGTAAAGGATGCAGTGTCCAGTGCTCACCCCGTGCTCCCCCAGTGGAGGCCCGGGGTAGCCGTCTGCCTCACTGGGCAAAGGAGCCCTGGCTGCGGGCTGGCTGAGAGCACAGATCCCTTCTGTCCCAAATTTCCCACCAAGAAGCAGGCTTCTGTTAGCACAGGTGCAGCCTGCCAGCCGCGTGGTTGTGTGTGCCGAGGGCTGGGAACCCAGTGGAACAGATTCCTCAATCCACTACGTTTCTTTATACTTCATGTGTTCTCCTTTTGTGGGGAAGAAAATCCCAGAAACAAGCTTCCTCCAGGAGGGATGATCCTGGAGTATAAGATAGGGAGATCAGGATGGCAAAGTGAGAGCACATGGAGCTCACTTCCCCCACAGGCACGTCAAGAATACACCTGCGTGTGGAAAAGTTCTCACAGAAGACTAAGTAAACGCTGGCTGAGGAGACCTGGACAGCCAAGGCTGCAGGGAAGACCCACATGTAATCGAGTAGGGCAAGAGGAAAAGCATTGGGTTGAGACCTGTACCCCTGTGGGGGACTCAGAAGGAAAAGGGAGATCTCAGGGGTGGACTCTCACCCTGGGGCCCCCGTTCCTGGGGTCCTACATGCAGGAGACAAGCCCCCTTGGCTATTTGGAGAAGTTGGACTCCATTCGTGAGTGCACGGTGCTGGCTGACCCTCAGGCAGGGCAGAGAGATCTGCCTGAGCAGCAGCTGGATTCCCGTGACTGACTGACCATGCACCCCAGCCCAGACCCGGCGAGCTGTACAGCCATGCTCACTCCATACCACATCAGAGCACTGGGCCTGGAATGGCCAAGACTGGGGAAAGAACCACCTGGGGCTGCGTCTGAGCACAGCTGCAGATGCCTCCATAGGAAGGGCATCGACTCTGTGAGCACAGAGGCCCCACGTGCTTCATCACTCCCTCCTCTGGGGCAGAGGTCCTGGTACAGGGAGAGGGAAAACACACACTCAGAGGGAACAGAACCAGCGCAAGCTGGGGATCAGCACTGAGCAGAGAGGCAGTCTCGCCTCATACCCTGCACAGGCCCTGGCTCCTAAAACACATGCCACACCCCCATCAAGGTGACAGTGGCCAGCACGGCCTGAGGAAAGATGGCACTGGCATCATCATCAGATCCAGCCCTCCCACCAAAATGGGTCCATGCAGTCCGTGTAGGGGCCCTCCCACATAAGAAGACCCATTCAAGACCAACACAGGTAGCTGTTTCACCAAAATTTATAGAAGCAGAGAAAGTTAAGCATG